ACATATATATATCTGTCTATCTATCTAACAGTCTATCTATTTCTCTCTCTCGCTCTCGCGATGCACACACACACAAACACACACACACACACACACACACACACACACACACACACACACACACACACACACACACACACACACACACACACACACACACACACACACACACACATACACACACACACCCACACACACACAGATATATATGTGTGTGTGTGTGTGCGTGTTTATATTTGTGTTAGTATTTATGTACGTGTTTATGCCTCTTCTTGCGTACCACAAGAACCGCTAAAGCCCGTCATAAACGCCTCACCTTTGTAAAGTGAGAAAGAGACATGAAAGAGAGAAGGAAAAAAAAAACATATAAAAAAAGAAAAGAAAAAAAGGAGGGAAAAAATCGCCAAGTTTCCCCCTGGAGGAACTCCCGGAGGAAAAGAAAATCACTTCCTCCCGAGACTGTTTATTGCACGGTACGTTAATTATAGGCGTCTCGGCCGACCGTGAACGTCGCGCCCAAATGGGGATGGACGAGCGAAGGGGGGGGGGGAGGAGAGAGGAGAGATGGGAGAAGAAGGAGGAGAGGAGAGAGAAGAGGGAGGAGAGGAGGGAGGAGAGGAGGGAGAAGAGGAAAGAGGAGAGGAGGGAGGAGAGGAGGAAGAAAGGGGAGGAAAAGGAGAAGATAGAGGGGGAGAGGCTAGATGAGGGAGGAGAGGAGGTAGGAGAGAGGAAGAAATGGAAGGGAAGTGGGGGAGGAAGAAAGGAGAGATGAAGGGGGGGGGGGAGATGAAAGGGGGGAGGAGGGGAAGAGAAGGGAGGAGAGGAGAAAAGGAGTGAGAATGGGGAGAGAAAGAAGGAGAGAAGGGCAGAGAAGGGAGGAGAAGACGAAAGGAGAGAGAAGGGGGAGGGAGGAAAGCGGAAAGAAAGGAGAGGAGGATAGAGGAGGGAAGGGGAAGAGAAGGAAAGGATAGGGAAAGGGGAGAGAGAGAATTTTTGGGGGGACGGGAGGGAGGAGGAAAGGGGAGGGAAGGGGAGGAGGAGGGAAGCAAGAGCGGAGAAAGTGCTCTTATTATGAGGAGAGAGGGAAACAAACATACATACTCACACACACACACACACACACACACACACACACACACACACACACACACACACACACACACACACACACACACACACACACACACACACGCACAAACACAAACAAACAAACTAACTAACTAACATACATACATACATACATACAGAAAGGCAGACAAAAGGAGAGAAGGAGAAGGGGAGGAGAAGAAGGAGAAAGAGAGATCCGATTTCGCAGGTCCCAGTCACTGGCTCGGCCGAGGCGCATCTGCAATGTATTGTGTATCACGTATCTGGTAAAAATGTGGCAATGTTAGCCTCTGTGACTACATAATGGATTACGGTCTTTATTGCCTGCGTCAGTTGGTGCCGCTAATATAAGGGGAAACTTTTGCCTGTGTGATTGCTTGGCTGTGTGCTTGTCTGCATGTGTGCGGGTTGGGGCTCGTGTGTGTGTGTAAAAAAGAGAGGGAGAGAGAGAGAGAGAGAGAGAGAGAGAGAGAGAGAGAGAGAGAGAGAGAGAGAGAGAGAGAGAGAGAGAGAGAGAGAGAGAGAGAGAGAGAGGGAAAGGGAGAGGGAGATGGAGAGGAAGGGAGGGAGAGAGAGAGAGAGAGAGAGAGAGAGAGAGAGAGAGAGAGAGAGAGAGAGAGAGAGAGAGAGAGAGAGAGAGAGAGAGAGAGAGAGAAATAATAGGGTAAGCAAACCATAGAGTTTGTATGTGCGTGTGTGTGCCTTTTACGTATACCGATGCCTGTGTTTATGCTTACATCTTGCGAACACACCTTTGTCTCTTCGGCTTTTAATCATAGGAATGTAAGTATAAAATGCGAGGATACATGCTGATGCGTCTTAACAGTGAAAACAAGTGTCATGGCCCGAGAAATGTGGTTACTTAACAAAGCTATGTGGTACGTGAAGTAGGATGTTTGCACATGCCATGGCGACGTGTGTTGTACTGGTAAGAGGCGGGCAGGAGACTGGGCTTCAGGGACGCTGGGCAAACTATGTGTGTTGTTTTTACCTTGTTTTTTGTGTAAGGTCTCTCCTGACACCTGGAACCATATATTAAACGGGCTGCGTTATTTACATTGTGGCAGCACAGGTACATTTATTTTATCGTAGATGTAAAAAAGTCAAAGAAAAAAAAAGAAAAAAGTTTGTAGCACATTGCCATGAATAATAAAAGTGTAAGGTATCATGAATAATAAACGAAGTCACATGCTCTGGGCGTGTGAATTTCTAGGAATAACCGAGCCTGCTGACAACTGTGTCGCTGACTTTCATGTTGTCGTTGACATTCATACCTAATTTGGTCATCTGATACTGCATGCAAGCGATAATACCCACGGCATACACGGCAAACGTTTACACAGCCTTATATAAATACACATTCGAATGCATTTTTACATACATTTGACTTACTCTCATAGACTTGTGTTTATGCCCGTTAGACACACATCAGCTGACGGTAACACTTCCTGGCATTCGCACGTGCTGACATTAACCCGGTTAATTTCCATTCTATCTGACGCGCAGAATGGAACAGCGTCGGATATTAATGCCAGAGTATTTTTATCCTCTCATACTATAAATGCTGGCAGCTGGTTCAGTTGCGTCACACTTCATGGGAGTTTGTTGACATTTAAATGCTCGCATACAATCTATATTATTTATTTGCTTATATATACATATATACATGCAGGTGTTGGTTTGCTTGCGTACATCTCTCTCTCTCTCTCTCTCTCTCTCTCTCTCTCTCTCTCGCTCGCTCTCTCTCTCTCTGTATGTGGATGTGTATGTGTATATATGTATGTGTGTGTGTGTGTGTGCGTACGTGCGTGCGTGTTGTGCATTTACCACTTAAATTTAATTATTCAGCT